ATTTTACAAGGTGATTCCTTATCAAATCTATTCTTCATTACTCAGACGAATATGGAAGATAGCAAAAAGTGAGACAGAAAAGAGTCAAAACTACAAGAGTGATTGTTGAAACGTTGAATAAAACCAAAAAGAATGAAAATACAGTATCTTGATATATTACAAGGATAGTATTGAAAGAAAAAGGGAATGTGAGAAATGATATGTAAATGTGTGTAAGGAACAGATAGAATATCAAAAATAAATAAAAATGAAATAAGTAATTGAAGAATCATTTTAATAACCAAAAGGGATGATAGAAGAAACATAGAAATATGTAATAACAACACTAGATGTCATTCTGAAATTATTCACGTTTATTAACAAGGATAAAAATGAAGAACAACTTGAAGTTAATTTAACTAAATACTAAATTATTCAAAATCAGTATTGTGTAGAAAGATGATTGCTAATATCAAAAATGAAAATATTATAAGCTTCAATGAAAGAAGTAAAAGAAATACAGATTCACTTTCTGTAATATGAAAGTTTATGACTCAATAAATTATGAATATGTTCAAATACTATTAATATTATGTTGTCATTTAGAAATACAGGAATTAGAAATAATGGATGGAAGACAAGATTATAACCATGACATAACAACAAAATAATAGAAATAAAAACAAAACGATGTGTTTCAAAAATGATTCATTACTACATTCTTCTTTTTATTTTTATAAATGGATATTAGAGACAATGACATTGAAATGCTGAATGAAATGGACTTAGCGCAATTAAAGAATGATAAGTTACCATTGGTGAGTAAAATAAGTAAAAGAATTGAGGTGAAGAAGAAAAAGAAATAATGAATATACATCAAAGAAATAATGAATATAAAGAAAGGAATATATAAATACAACAACACTCGATGACGTGGAAATTAGAGAAGAAGAACAACAATAGAAATAACTAGAATCGTTCAAATTTAGTAGAAATGATGATAAAAGAATGAAATGATAAATAAGAATAATGAAATCCACATAAACTGATTAATAAAATGAAAGTGGAAAGAATTAAACTACCAAAATAATATAGAATGATATTTAATTTACATATAATAAATAATGTTATTTGTTGTTAAGAAAATGAATGAAATTGATAAGAAGATAATGAAAATATTAAAAGAATTGAAAATAATGATTAAAGTGTTTGAGACTATATGTTAATAAAAAGAAGAAATAGAAGAAGTGACATGAAACAATTGAAAGAGAATATAAAAGAATTTGAAATAGATTTTATAAAATGTGTTTGAAAAGTTAATGAGAATAAGTCTTAAAGAATATTTAAAGAAGAAATATGTTTAAAACTATAAGTTTGTGTTTTGAAGATATTTGTCAAAATAAGAAAAGGAAGAATGAAAACTTTTTTAGTGGAGTAATAAATGAAGCAAACGTTAGTCTCAGGATGAAATTTTTATGAAAATAGCTAATATTATAAAAATCTCTATTTTGAATAACTTAATCTCTAACAAACTAAAAGTATTGAATTAAAAATTCTAAAAAAAAGAACCTTCATTTAGCTTTTTACTAATTAAAATATTCAGCTAATAGTCGTTAGTTAGTCAGTTTTCTTATTTTCTTTTTTGACTGATTTACTTTTCAAAAATTGTAAGAAGGATTTAACATTTTCGAATTTAATAGTAAGTGGTAAATGAGGTGGAACACCATTGAAAGTAACAACACCTGGAGTTGCTTTTTTCAAAGAGATTTTCTTCAATAATACTAATGGAATTTTTTTAATTAATTGATACTTTCCGTCAACCTCATTAATCAAAATCATTTCTCTATTAGTTCCAATAACAATGACACTTTCGTTCTTATCACCAATAATTTCACCTTTCATATGGAATTCTGTTTTCATTAATTCTTCATAATAATCACTCTCTTCCTTATTTCCTTCAACTTTCTTTTCTTCTTTTTGAATTTGAGTGGTTTCTTGTTGAATATCTTTTACATCTTTTACATTATCACTTTCTTTAACTGTCATAGAGGCAACAGCTGTTCCAAACCAACCCTTAGCAAATTCAAAAGCTTTTGTTCCAACATTTTCTGTAGCTCTAATCAAATTATTAACCCCTTCTACACCTTGTTTTCGACAAATACTGCAATTTGTAAGTGAATGGTTTTCTACAGGAAATCCTTTTTCATTATCAAATAAATAATGATAACCAGTAAAACCATTATGCAATTCTGAAACATGCTTGAATCCATTTTTTATTAACCAAATCATTATTTGTTGGATTTGTTCTACAGCATCTCTATGGTCAGTATTTCCAAATACAACAATATGGGTATTACTTTTCTTAAGACCTTCAATATCTTTAATAAAATTCTCAATATTTTCAGGCTCACTCTGAATTGAACTAGCATCAATATTGATAGCTCCTGGAATAGTTCCACTAAGGTACATCTCTCTATTTCTTCCATCAATAAGAAATAGTGAAAATCCTCTACTATTTTTATCAGCAAAAATATCTTTTGGAGAAACAATAGCAACATTTCCTGTAGTAATAGTTGAATAAACCCATCTCTGGTATTGAGGAGAATTTGTAATACAAGCAAATAATTGTTTGGTTATTGAAATTGGTGTATTACTTACAAGAGCCTTAGCAAATCCAACTACTTTCTTTATTTCATCTTCTGAAATTTTAGAGTTAATTCCACTAATAACTGCTTCAGCTGAAGGTGCTTTTAATAAAGTATCTTTTAATAAAATAATATGTGAAATTAATACATAAAAATGAAGCATTTGATCAGAAGAGAGTAATAATTGATCGATTAATTGTAACTTTCCTTGAATTGATTCTATCAATGGGAGACATAACATACAGACTTCATTAACTACAAATTGTTTTAAATCAACTTTTACTTCTGTAAATTTTTTAATTAATTCTGGACAATGATATTGAATAATCAAATTGAAAATAACATATATTCCTTCAACAACTTCTTTGTTTTCTTCTTTAATTAATGGAATATACAAATTAACAATTTTATCAACAAGAGAACAAATTTGATCTGTTTCTAAATCAAGTGATAACAAAGGTAAAGCCACTTGTGCAAGTGCCATTTCATCTCCTTTAAGATTACCAATTATAAGAGCAAGACTTTTCATAATCTCAGAAAGATTTGAAGAAAAAATTGGGGTATAAAAAGGAAGGAATTTATCTGTTTCTACAACTTTTTCCATATTTAGTTTCATTCCTTCTCTTATACCTAATAATAATGGATAAATTTTATTTCTTTGGTTTGCTTGTATTCCAGTAATTCTTGTCATTTCTTTAACAGTAAATATATCCTTTATTTCAATAGCATTTTTGATGAGTTCTTCAATTGGTGTTGTCATATGATCTAAATATTTTGATCTTTTTTTCTTCTCCTTTGATTTTTCATTTTTATTTGAATATTTGTTATATAAAACGATATTTATATTTAATGAGTTTCTGTTATTTTTGATATATTGAAATGAATTTACAATAAAAGAATGTGAACCAACAAACACTTAAACACCTTAAAATGTTTTGATTGAATAATACTAAGAGATAATAATAACCTTTAATAATATTTGATAAACTATTTTTGAATTAGAACCTTTTTTAGTCAAACAAATTTGAATTTAATTTTAATTATATTTACATTTCTAATAAGACTTTTGATTAATTCAATTATAAACTCTTAAATAGTGTGATTATTATAATAATGTTTCTCTTATAAATTACTTATACAAATTTATTTTAGCAATATTCTAAATATCCAAATACTCATGTTTGTTATTGATATTTCTAAAAAAAATACAAAAAATACAAAAACAGTAAAATATGATAAGAATAGAACTACTTCACAACACTTATTATTAAAAATTCATTCAAAAAAAGAATAATGAATTTATTAAAAAAACATCAATTAAAAATTCTTACGGTAATTCACACCACAACCACACCGTTTCCATTTTTGTTGATTTACTTGCCTTTCTAGTTTTATTATTTTTTCTTCTGGATTATCAATGTCTTCATTTGGAGGAGTTGGAATAACATCATCATAATCTATGGTTTGTTTCTTTTTGATTCCCATACGACGAAGAAGTTTTCTTTCTTCTTTTCTAAGAAGAGGTATATTGCTGTTAACATCACCATAGATATCATCAATTGAATGAATTCCCATCATTTTATTTTGTTTGTGATAGAGTTCAACAAGTTTATTAACTTGTTGAATTGGATCAACTGAATATTTTATTTTATTATATATCTTTCTTAATTGCTTTCTTTTAAAGAAATGGTCTGAAATCATGGTTTTTAATTCTCTAATTCTTTTATTCATCCTATTGTCTTTTTCTTCACTTTCTCTTTTAGTAAAAAGATAGTCTAACTTATCTCTTAATTTTCTTATTTTTTTAATTTCTTTCTCTCTTTCTTCGTGTTTTGTTCTTCTAATCTTTTTTTGGTTATACTCTTTTTTAATTTCATTTAAAATCTTTTTTCTTGCTTGTTCTTTGATAAGTATTTGTCTTTTCATTTCTTGTGCAATTTCTTTATCCAATCTTCTTTCAATCTCAGTCTTTCTAGCTTGAACAACAATCTTTTTATTTTTTATTCTTTCATTTTTAGTCTTATTTTCATTTTGTTTACTTGTTCTTTGTGCTTTTGTTAATAATTTAGTTTTACTTCCTTTATTATTAGAGCGTACAAGGACTTGAGAATTAGTTACTTTATCCATCTCATTATTATTTTCACTTATAGTGTTAACATAATTATTACCTTTTATGTTATCACCACCCCCTACTAGTTTTTCATGTCTATGAACTAGTCGTTTGATAATTTCTTGTTTTATTTTATCTCCTGAACCTTCTCCTCCAAGTATTTTTTTCATTGCTTTTGCAATATCCTCTTTCCAATTTTTTCTTTTTTCTTTTGAATATTCTCCACTAAGTTGTTTCTTATAAACTTCACCAGCTTGGTTAATGACATTATCTCTATAACTTTTGTCATCAATTAGCTTTGACATCTTAAGTTTTGATGTTAACTCTTTAACAAGCTCTTTATTTTTTGATTTTTTTGCATTTTTCAATGCTGCTTCAAGAATTTGTGTTGGTCCCATACTTTTTCTTGGCTTTTGCACATTTGTAGGAGAGTATGTCGTATTCCATTTTGCTAACATCTTTTCTTTAAAATCTGGTTGAGTATAAAAGTTATTTTCAAGATGTAAACCATGTTCTATAATATCTCTTTCATTATCATCAAATACTTTTGATATAGAATGTTCCACGTTAGCTTGGACTGATGGATTAAATTTACGTGTTCTTTTTTTGACGATATCTTTTAGTGTATTAATTGCATTGTCTTGCTGTGCAGTATTACATTTAAATCCTTTAAAATAAAGATACCCTTCCCAAAGGTCAATAAAAACTTCATTTGCAACTTTGGCTTTATCAATAAGTTCATTCCAATTCTTTAATGCAGGAGAAGATTTAATAATATCTTCTATTTGCTTTCTGTCTCCTTTACATGCCAAAAGAGATTTTTTTAAGTGGGCAAATTGTTGAGTAAGACTTTTTAATAAAGCAGTAGGATTTTCAATATAATTTCTAGTTAAATTAGCTAATTGATTAACATCATTAAGGTTCTTAGAAAGAGACTGACTTGCTTGAACTAAAGCAGTGTTATTATCAAATTCGTTTTCATTTTTTAAGTGTTCATAATAATCTTCGGTTTGTTTTTCTACTAATTGTTTGACAGAATCTTCGCAATTTTCGTATTTACTTCTTATATCTTCAACTTGAGGATTAATTGTTGTCATTTCACTTTTAAATGAATTATAACTATTTTTTAAACGACCAAAACATGTTCTTATTGGATCTAAATACTTCTTTCCTTCATTAGACAATGTTTTACTATAATAATTAAAATCCTTTTCAATTTTTCTAAATATTGAATTGATTCTTTCATAATGTTCATCACCTTCTTTATATTTATAATAATATGTAAATTGATTTTTCCTTAATGCAACACAAGTATCATTCATACTACATTCATGGTTACTTGGAAAAAATCCAATATATTTTCCCATACTAAGTATAATAAAAAGAAGAAGAAGTTCAATTCTTTTGATTTTTAACATTATAACTGTTTTAAGTTCTTTTTTTTTCTTATCCTTTTTGATAAATTTATTTATTATTTACTTATAAAATACCAATTTTTTAGAAAATGTAATAAAATGTTATTCCTTCTCCTTTCTATGAAAAAAGAAATTCAATTTTATCTGTAAAAGTCCATTGCTTGTGTTTGTTTTCTAACAACTTTCTTGTAAGCCTTCTCAAAGTCAGCTGGAAGGATAATATATCTATTCTTTCTTACTGCATGCATACCAGCTTCTTGACAAATAGAAGCTATTTCAGCACCACTGATTTTATCAGGACGTGAAGCATAATCTTCTAAGTCAATTTCTTTAGATAGGTTCATTTTAGATGTAAGCACTTGGAAGATTAACCTCTTTTGCCTTCTGTCTGGTAATGGAAATTCAATTTTTCTATCAAGTCTTCCAGGTCTTAGTAATGCTGGATCTAATGAGTCAGCTCTATTTGTTGCCATAATTACTTTTACATTAGTTGTTTGATCAAACCCATCCATTTGAGTTAACAACTCCAATAAAACTCTTTGAACTTCTCGGTCAGCTCCATTTTGGGCATCATGACGTTTTGTAGCAATGGAATCAACTTCATCAATAAATACAATAGATGGTGCATTTTCACGTGCTAATCTAAAAACGTCTCTAACCATTCTTGGACCTTCTCCAAGATATTGTTGTGCAAATTCAGATCCAACAATTTGGATAAAAGACGCTGAGGTATGATGTGCAACAGCTTTAGCTAACATAGTTTTTCCAGTTCCTGGTGGTCCATATAACAAACAACCACGTGGTGGATCAATACCAATTTGTTTATACAACTCACTTTGAGTTAATGGAAGTTCTACAGCTTCTCTAATTTCTTGTTTTTGAATATCACACCCTCCAATATCAGCATATGTTACATTAGGTGTTTCTCCTTTGGACAATATTCTAATGGCACTATCAGCCTCTGGTGGTAATACATCAACTAAAGCGTTTGATTGTTTATGATGTGCAACAGACGTTCCTGGTTTAAGAAGTTCTCTATTAATAGTAGATAAAATACGAACAAACTGTGTTGTTCCACTAGAAAGAGTAACAACGGCTGTGTCTTTATCTACCATCTCAACAAATTGACCAATATGCAATGGTACACTTTGAACCCTTTTGACTTCTTCTTGTGCTCGTGATAATTCTAGTCTAAGGGCTTGTTGCTCTTCATGAATATATCCATCAATCAATCTCAAATGATCTAAGTCTGCCTGAAGGGATTTCATTTTTAAGTATGCGTCTCTTAATTGATGTTTTGTTTCACTCATGCTCTCTTTGTTGTTTATAACTATTTTAGTTCGTTGAAGTTTTTGTTTTTTTTTCTTTACTCTTATTACCATTAATTTTTTTTTAATTTATTATAACTCTTACTCTAATAAAATAAGTATCTGTCAAAACTATTATTTTTGTTTTTGATATAAATAACAAAAAATGAATAAGAATAACACAATAAGTAATGAGAATAATAATAACTAATTTTAAGACTAATTAGAATAGAAGAGAGTCTTATCAAGCAAAGAAGATAGAATACATGAAGAAAACAATAGTCAGATGAAAACTTAAAAAAATTATATAGAACGTTTTGGTTTATCCATTTAATTCAATTATTTTTATAGTTAATCTTTTTTCTTCTCATCTACCTTGCTAGACATTAAACCAAAAGGTGTAACTTGAAACAAAGTTTGATTAATACATTTATTTTACAATAATCATGGTATATCATTATATAATAATGTATAATGTATCTAAAGAAATTGTCGATACCTTCAGATTATTTAGATAATCTTTTAAAAATCAATTAAACACTTTAGGCTTATAAAAATAAAAGATAGATATAAATAAATTTTAGATAAGATAGACTTACATTAATTATCAATCAAAACAAAAGTGAAATTAAGGATAGACCAGAGGACAGAAATAAGATAAAAGACATAATCAACGAATCAACTTATAAAATCAAATGGCTCTTATAGAAACACACTTTTTTATTAAGATTCAATAAGATAGAATAGTGAAAGGAAAGAATG